AGGTGAGGAAACTGAGGCACAGAGGAGATGAGGAGCATGTCTAAGGTCCCACAGGTAGTGGGGTCAAGTTAGGATTTTAACTCGAGCAGTCAAACTTTAGCCTGCATGCTTAACCCCTACACCACACAGCTTCTCTGAAACGTAACCTAAGCAGGAATTCGCCCTCACACCTTCCATAGCGAAGTTATCTCAACATCACAGCAGTCACTTTCAATGTGTCGATACGCTCTTGTTCTCCAGATGAAAGCCTAGATGGAAACTCGGTCTACAAGAGGGAAAAGCAGAACTAATCTGGTTTGGGGCAGGAGGAGGCAAAAGGTGAAAGACAAGAGGCAAAGCCCTGCCCGCTCCTGGGGCCTTCTCTACCCTCCCCAGTGCAGTACCAACAGATTCCTAGTCCCCCGAGGAGTGCATCTTAAAATGCCACAGAGCATTATGTGTTTATGCTTTCTAAAAATCAGTAATCTGTACCCCCAGTGTAGATTTGTATAATCCATTGTCAGAAAAGTATACATTTTATGCTAATTGATTCACCTGAGGAGCTTTTGCTGTATCGTTTGTAATAATTTTATTACTTCTAAGGATAAAAGCTTTTTACCCCTTGTAAAATAACATATGCATCTGTACCGTGTCAATCAGTGCTGACGATGCAATTTGATTTAAAAAATGCAATTTCATCTAACATACAGCTTTAGAGAAAATCAAGGTATGTGTGCATAATGATGGGCCACATAAAGAATGCTTCTGCCCTTGATCACCAGCTAGGAGAGTCCCCCCAAACAGTCCCCTGTGGCCTATTTCACAGGAGAGCTCAGACAATACTTTGTAAAAGTTGGTCTGTATTAGGAATCCCTGCTGTTCAGGGCCACCTGATTGGAAGCCCTGGCTCTGACACTGATTCTCACAGACTATTGGTATAACTGTGGGCAAAGCACTACATTCATTCTTTCGGCCTTAGTGTATTCATCTGGTTATTGAATGCCCTTTGTAGGGTTAACTATCTCTAAGATCCCATGATCCTGACCACTCCCCCGCTCACAGCTTGCATAATTCTCTAGGTACCAAGTAGGCTCCAGATTTGAAATTTAAGAGAAATGGAGGGAAAACAGAAAAGCATACAGATGTGTTCTCATGGTCGGGCTAAGTTTTAGGATGCTCTTCTGAGAGTCTTAAATACTCTGCCCCTTGCCATATGAGTTTCAGTGCATAGGAGGAAGGGAAGAGGTCACTGCCACCAAGGGAACTCTGCCTGGCTCAGAATCTCAACATCGGCAGGCAGGGCACCAGGCAGTAGTGGGCCAGCCCTATGCATCATGCTCCCGGCATCCTTGGATGAGGGTCTCCCAGCCTCTGGTGGGGTCCCAAGTAGTCAAGCTGTGTCAGGGATTCAGCCCAGAGAGATAGAGGAAATGCAAAGCCCCGTGGAGTGGCGATGTGGGCTGGGTTTTGGGGAGGTGGGAGCTTGGAGAAGGTGTCACGTCCTGCGGAAGTGCAGTGGCAGGACATGAAAATGGCAGGAAGAGGTCACCTGATAAGCCCAAAGGTCCTCTGGGCTTGAGCCAGGTTTTTTTCAGCTGGTGGGCCGGGGAGGTGAGAAGGGGGTTAACTACACCCAATCTCATGCCCCTAGCCTGAGGCAGTGCAGAGGGTTCCTGCCACTTACAGACCATTTTCTTCCAAGGGCAGCACCAGAGAAGAAACCGATATGGCCATTTTATGGGTCTCATCCCCAAGACAGTCCCACTGAACTGATTACTCACTTCCTTTCTGAAGAAAGGACGCTACACCCCAGTACTTCATCTTGAACTTGGCAGGGTCCTCGGTGTCTGTGAAGGTACCCAGCATGTCAGCGCACACTTCCCAGTTGCTGCAAAAGCCAAGGGGATCCTGAGCCAGGCCAGGCAGAAGGCTTCCTCCCTCCATCCCTCCAGGGTCAGGGTTTGGCTTTCAGCCCGGGGAGCCCTGGAGCGCAGAGAGCTCTGCCGCCCAGAGGACACTGACTTCAAAAGAGTGACTCGGCCCTTGGCTGTGGCGCTCATCTGGCCGTTTTCGTCCACGGAGAACTCGGCGATGATGTTGTCCTGCAGAAAGAGGCCCTCGGGGTCCTTCTTGGCCACGGCGTACCAGATCCCGGAGAACTGCGAAAGAGATGAGAGCAGGTTTGGTGTCTGCAGTACACGGCGGGCCGGGGGGCTGGGCGAACGCGGGGAGTGGGGGTCGGTGACCGGGCCGCCGCGACGATACCTACTCGAGCCTTGTCGAAGTTCTCCTTTACTCGGAAGCTGCTCACCCGGCAGTCGCGCTCCGCCCGAGCGCTGCCCAGCGCAGCCAGCAGCACGAGCGCCCATACCCACTCCATCTCGCCCAGGAATCCGCCCTGTGGGAAACGCGCGCCATGAGCGCAGGGCAGCGGAGCCACCCAGCCCGCTCCGTCCCCGCCCGTCCTCCCCCGGGTGCAGCTCACCACCCCGAGACTCACGCAGACCTGACCGGAGCGACCGGGCGCGCAGGGAGCCTGGGAGGCGAGCGCGCCGCGGGAGCCGCTCGGCCGCTTTATAGCTCCGGGGGGAGGGGGTCGCGCTGTTGCAACCGCGGCGAGTGAAATGCACAGGGGGGAGGTGCGGGGGCCGGCGGGCCGGCACTTGCATAACTCGCCCTGACTCACCGGCGCCCGCTCTCGGGGAGGGTCCCTTTGGCCAGGGACTCGCCCCCAGTGCCTCCCGGAGTTTGGTGAGGCCGCCTCGCAGGGTGGCCTCGACGGGGGCCCAAACTCTTCAGCGGCCATGAGCCGCGGGAACAAGCCCTGGCCTAGTTACCCAGCACTTGTGCCAGGGGCCGTAGCTGCGGCCTGGGGTGGCCTCGGGGCCCAGTTGCTCTGGCGGGGGGCCCAGGTCGGCCTGGCGGGAAAACTGTGGCCTCCCAGAGCGAGAGGACCTATGGTGATGCTGCCTGGTGCGTCAGTGCCCGGCCCCGGCCGTGCCAAACTGGCCCCTCTGCCCTCTGAGGGCCAGTTGAGAAGGGGTTTGGGAATATTTCGGCCAAGTAGTTTTTCATTTTATAAAGGATGTATTTTACTCCCTTTCGGGGGAGAGTTGTGGAGCTCTCTGGGTCAATATTTGTTCTTTAGTTTCAACATCTTTAGAAGCATTAAAACCCTCCCTGTTAAATATTCTCCAGAAACGCAACAGTGGTCAGGACAGGAAATATTTTAGCGACCTCGGTGGTCGCCTACTTTATGGTACTTCGCTCGAACCATTTTGAAGCTCACCTACCACTTGTTTGTGATGCAGCTTTATTTCAAAACCATAGTAGAAATTTGTTTTGTTTTCAAAACAGCTAAGCGAGTTGGCTGAGGAGAGGACAAGACATAGATAAACAAAACTTTAGACAAATGTCAATGGTCCATGAAGTCACATGCTGCAACTAGTATGATTTTGCTTGTGTATTGGCACATTCACCAACCTCGTTTTTCTCCTTCCACTCGGAGGTAAAGTGTTCTCCTAATCTGATCAAAGCAGCCAGAAGATGCAACTTTTGACTGAATGAGAATTCATGATATGACAAAAGAAATACCTTTTGGTAACATTCCTTCCATACAATGTCAGTTGTGTATCCGATGAATTTCAGTTGTGTCTCCATGGCCCAAATTGGGAAGAACTGAGATGACTGTGGATCATTTTGCTGACACTAACCAAGCGAGGGTGAGGGAAGAGAAGGTTGGCCGCCAAACACAGAAATATGGAGTTGATGGTCCCCTGTCAGCTCTTACTAGGTTAAAGCATTGGGGTTACTATTGTTTTCAAGATTTTAATTTATTTATTTTTAGAGAGAAGGGAAGGGAGAGAGAGAGGGAGAGAAACATCAGCATGAGAGAGAAATATTTATTGATTGCCTCTCCTACGCTCTCTGATCAAGACCAAACCCACAATGGAACCTGCAACCCAAGCATGTGCCCTGACTGGGAATCAGACCAGTGACCTTTCACTTTGCAGGACAACACCCAACCAACTGAGCCAAACTGGTCAGGGCCTTTGGGGTTACATTTGATCCCCTGAAAAGACTCTGAGCTCTCCCTCACCTTCCTGTTGAAGGAGACCAAAGTTTTCCCACCCTGAAGCTGCCTGGTGTACTGATTTTCAGCTGGTTATTAAGAAACCAAAGTCTCAGAAAATTACCCTTGACTCTCTCCCTTTGAAGCTGGAGAGACTGAGACAGAAAAACTTGCCCCAGGAAGGGAATCTTAGGATTTCGCCTTAGTCTAATTGGAATTAGGTGTGGTAAATAGGAGGGCTTCGGGCAGGCCTGCTATTTAGGTCCCCCCCGTGCCCCGCTGTCTCTGAATCACAGGGGGAATCTCCTGCCTTGTGTGTTTGCTGGTCCTCCACTACCTATGAAGCACCCTTTTCACTGTTGAAATCTCAGACCCCACCCGCCCCACCTCCTTTATCCCCTTTGTCCAAAATGTCATATTCACCCAATGTTGCCTCTCTGTCCTTGGAGTTTTCATGCTTATTTGAATTCCTTGGGTGCATGTATTAAAGTTATGATTTTCTCTTGTTAATCTCTCTCTGTTAATTTGAGTATTAGCTCAAGGAGAGCTAAGAAGGTGGGAGGGAAAGCATTAGTATATTTTTAGCCCCCACGCTGTAACTGTTTGGACACCTCACCTACCTGTTCTGCTTCCTCCCACCGTGCCCTCCACTCTGGCTCTCATCTGAGTCCCCGGTGTCTCAGGAGGGCCAGTGATGATGCATTTAACTCCCTACTGCCCCAGAGCTCAGAAAGCCCTGTTTCTGGCCAAATTTTAACTAGAAGGCCTTCTGGTTAGGCCAGCTTTATCACAGGATGCAAAATCCCACCAGCTCAGAGAAGGTCTGCTTCAGAGCCAGTCCTGCAGGGACCGTGTGTGTAGTCACACCTGTGGTAGAATCTGTGCATCGTAGGTGGGAAAGGGCTTTAGAGCATCTCAATCTCCTGTCCAATGGTTGGATCCCCTCTGACTTTCTGAAGTAGAGATCTTCCAGGTTCTCCTCCAACACCTGTGAATTGTTGGGGGCGACATAGCCCTGCTCTCCATCACAGGAGAGCTTCCAGCTGAGCCCGGCTGCCTTTGGACAGCTATTATGCTAGAAAAGTTCCCTTGCGTCCCCAGCCCTTTCAAGCATTTCTCCTAGATCATATTCTGGTCGTCCTTGCACACTCCATCTATTGAATAAGCACAGGGGATTTCAATGCATTCTTATAGAGGTTGTTTTTACAGCGACATTTTTTCATTCATTTGTTAGATGCTTGTTCCTCCTCTCACGCTATCTCTGTCTTTTAATGATAAAGTGTGAACCTTGGTGTCCCAAATACCAGCAAAGAAAAACAGTTTGCTTTGGCATTCTCTCTCAAAGTTCTTCATGATTACGCACATGTGAATACAGGTCAGCTGATATTTTTAACTTTAGTGCTTCAAAATTTATCTACATAAAATTAAATTTCAAATATGCATGTATAGATAAAATATTGATGGGAAAAACTTCACAGTGATCACCTCTGTGTGGTAGACAAGGTTAGGGTGATGTAAAGGGGTGGGGTGTCTTTGTTTTGTTTGTATTTTTTGGACTGGGACCTTTCTGTAATTTCCAAATTTTCCTACAGTGAAAGTGTTTAATCAGAATATAAAACAAATATTCTCTTTGCAGTTTTTTTCTAGATGTAAAATTATGTTTTCAATGATATCTTACAAATTGTACACAATATACACAAAGTGTCACTTACCATACTTCATGGAGAAACAGATCTTGTTTCATTCATCTTGGTGTCCACCCCCACCAGCTTCTCCACGGGATTTATTAAGAGACCTGTACATAGTAGGTGCTCAATCAATAGATATTGATTTAATTTGTTGTGTTTAAATTTGTCATTTTAGGTAAGCTTCGTAAAATATTTATTTTAAAAAGCCTGGTAAGAGGCCGTTCTTTCTAAAATAGAAGTTCTCGGGATCTAGCCATTGTAGCAGAGCTGGCTAACCATCCTTCTACTGAAATAATTTGTCCTCTTCTTCCATGATGTAGAATTTTGGGGAAAAGGCTGATCTGCCAAAGGGCACCTCCCCACTTCCTGCATCTCTCTAAGACCACGGGCCTAAGTTTCAGTTAATGGAAGGTGGACTAAAGTGCTGTGTGTCCCTCGCAGAGAGGGCTCGTGAAAACTCGTGCCCGTCCCATTGTCCTGGCTCTTTCTCTCTCTCCTTGTCTGCCCACTGGTGCAGCCTCCATCATCCTGGGACTCCCACCAGTGATTAACTTGATGTGAATGAGAAATAAACTTTCACTGGGATAAGTTACCTACAGTAACAGAAATTACTGTTACCTTAACTAAAGTGTCAACAGACAAGCCACTAACTCCTAGGAAATATTGAAAAACGTTTTGCTATAATTGAAAGAAGATCTGATACAAGAAATCTATGTCCTTGCCCTTATAAAAGTTAAGCATTTCCAATCAGCTCCCTTTTGTATAAACTGACATTTACACCCACATCTTGACAGAGAGGTCAAGAAAACTGGAACAAAAATTAAAAAATGGGTAGCATTTGTCTTCTCACTGCATTTAAAAGATGCCAGAATAAATGGTGGGAAAATGAAAAGATTACTCAGCCAACATGTTCAGGTACAAAACGTCCAACTAATTTTTTCATAGGGTTGGGTTTTTTTATAGCAGTTACAAAGTCATTGCTGAATTTAATTGATTTAGTTGAAAATAACATGGGTCCCACCATGCATCATCTCTGAGATACCTGGTCATACACATCCATTAGGCACAGGCAGATACTCCCTCAAGAGCAAACAGGCAACGTAAAGGGGCCCTTTGCACTTAGCTGCCAGGATGTGTCTGACACACCTGCCTTTAGGGGATGCCTTTTGGTGGTAGAGAGCAGGAAGAATGAAAAATTTTGCTAAGGTGAAGCTGAAGAATGGGTTTAATATGATGATCTGAAATGTACCCAGTTCAGGATATTGTTGGTCTTATGTGAGTGTTTCAACCTCGTGCATGATTTGGGCTATTTTATAAGCATTACTTCCAATAGGAATAGTTAACTGCAGTGGAAAATTCTTAGTAGTATTGGAATTAAACATTATGTATGTTCATTAATATAGCATACTACTGAAGAATGTAAAGTTATTAAACAGAAAGTTTAAGGAAGTTCAACCATTCTTTAGTATATCTGTAGGTTTTTAAAAAGTGTCCCTGGAATTTTTATTTAACTCCTGTATTAGTGTTTGACATTTTATATGATATCTGTCTAGATTTTAAACTCCTTAAAGGAAAGGTCTTTGCATATTCCCCTGTAAGCAGCTAGTATGATGTCTTGTACCCCTCAGGGGTGCACTTTTCCATTTAATCCTATTTAAACTGATAGGCTTGGGGTAGGTCACTATCACTTACTATCTGTGTGACCTTGAGCAAGCTATTTCATTTCTCTGTGCTTCAATTTCTTACCAGTAAAGTACAGGCAATAATAGCACCTACCTCATGAGGTTATTTTAAGAGTTAAATGACAGAATACACGTAAGGGCCCTAGAAAAGTGCCTGGCACAGATTACATATTATAATGTTAGCCACTCTAATGAGCACTTTTTCATGGTCATAACTTTGTGGATTATAGTTGTAAAAATAAAAATACCCATTAAATGAAATGGAGTTTTCATATCAGCTTAGTTATTATCTCAGATACACTTTATCAAAACAAATGACTGTTAATGTCTGTCACATCTAGGATATTGACCTTTCCTCTCATTTCCCCTACAAGTTAATGCTCTATTTTAAAAAAAAAGTATGTTTAAATCAACTAGAAATGCTGACATAAAAGTTTAATAGTGATGTTTAACAAAATCAACAATTATTTTGCAGTGTCAAAAATTCATTCTAACTGGTCAGTTTGGTAATTTTTTAGATATTTAATTTTATATATTTATTATATAAATATATAGTTATACTTATTGATAGATAATTGTCACATATAATTGTATTTCTATATAATACATATAGTAAATATATAATATATAATATATGTCATATATAATAAACATATGAGGACTTCCGCCAAGATGGAGGCATAGGTGGAAGCACTGCACCTTCTCACACAATCAAGTTTAAAAACAACAAAGTTTTAGCAACAAAAATGTAGCCAAACCACAGAAAATTGAACTACACGGAAGTCTGACAACAATGAACCCTTCAACCAAACCAGTAAGAGGGGCAGAGCCAGCAGCAGAGCGGGGTCGGGCAGGAAAGATCCACCTGACTGACCTGGGCACATGACCCAGGAGCACCAGCCGCCATGGACGGATCCCAGGTGTGGAGTACTGGGCAGACCCACTGAGGGTGCAAGGCGGTGAACCCATTGAGGGCTGATCACGGTCACACATTCGTGTGCAGATAAACCAGTGAAGGAGCTAGCAGTGAGACAGACCGTGCAGGCCCCAGCAGCAGGAAGTAGCAGAGGGAACCGCCATTGTCCCTCTCTGACCCCGCCCCCACATACAGCGTCACAAACCAGCAACCTGGGTAGCCCCGCCCTGGGGAACAACTAAAGTTCTGCTCCTCATAATAACAGGCATGAATAGATCAAAACATGGCTCAAGAACAACTCAGAGCCCCAGTGCTGATAAGCCTAAGCGATGAAGAAATAGCCAAACTTTCAGATGCACAGTTCAAAACACTGGTGATCAGGATGCTCACAGAACTGGTTGATTTCAGTCACAAATTAGAGGAACATATGAAGGCTAAACTAATTGAAACGAAGGGAAATGCACAGGAAACCAATAGTAATGGAAAGGAAACTGGGACTCAAATCAATGGAGTGGACCAGAAAGAGGGAAAAAATGACCAAACAGAAAAGAATGAAGAAACAAGAATTCAAAAAAAATGAGAGGCTTAGGAACCTCCAGGACATCTTTAAAGGTTCCAACATCCAAATTATAGGGTTACCAGAAGGGGAAGAGGAAGAGCAACAAGTGGAACACTTATCTGAATAAATAATAAAGGAGAACTTCCCCAATCTGGCAAAGGAAATAGACTTCCAGGAAATCCAGGAAGCTCAGAGAGTCCCAAAGAAGTTGGACCCCATCCATCAGGGACAGGGAGGGAAGGGACAGGAGGGAAGGTACCTGTGTGTGCGCTCAAAGGCAGCTTTCCAGTATTTTTTTTAAAACAATCTTTGTCTTCATAAACTGGTCTTTAGGGCTCAAAGTAGTCACCAGCGAGCCCACTTTCTTGCTTCTCTTTCTAGCTAATTGATCGCCCGCCCCATCAACTGTTGCCTGGAATCGTGCCTCCCATTTGTCCCTTTCTTTTCCGTTCCTAAGCAACCTTACCCATAATCTATGAAAATGGCCTTAAAAACTTTGTTTGTGAATGGATTTCTTTACTACAGTAGATCTCTTTTATTTTCTTTCTAATATGACTGCTATCATCATAGAGGTAAAGCTTTAAGTTTAGAGAAGTACGTGAAATCCATAGGGCTGCAATTTTGAAGCAAACTTCAATGTGGGTATAACAATAATTTTCAGAGTCACTATAACACGTTATGTGTGTTTCCATTCAAAAGAGTTTGTTACATAGTTCGTAGCTTTATAGAAATGTTTAAAAGATCTTGACTAAGGTTGAAATCAGCATTTAAATATTTAAGGAAATTGGTTCATGAAACGTGTAGTTTGACTTATGAGTTGCATAATAGTGTTTAAATATTTGGGAAAATGTGCTTAATCAATGTAAAAGCTTAATAAATTGAACATTAAACAAAACTAAGTAGTAGTAAGTGTGCTTTCCAGGCCAGAAGTCCCTGAGACATTACAGATCCTAGCAACAGCCAAGACAGGTTTTATCCAGTAGATTTAACGGCTGTACTTTGGAGCAAAAATGCATGAGATTTGGCTGTTACTATTGAAAACAAAATCCAAACTAATATGCTTAGCAGGAAAACCCAGTTAGTGGCTGCATGGGTTGCTTCTGGTGGCCCTGTCTCTTGATAAGGGTTATTATTGATATGGTGGCTTGATTAGGCCTGGGTCACACGCAGGCAAATGTTTCACTTCTCTAGTTATAAGTCCAAGGGTTGTTCCTTTAAAACTCTTCCAAGGTCCAGCTTTCTAAAGTGAGGAGGATTGAGATGTGAGGAGTTTAGACAAAAAGTAGACTATGCAAACTGGATGATCAAAGGACTTTTAAGAGAAGGAAAATTAATATTCCATTTTATGTCATGTTGCTGTTAAACCCTTCCATCTCCCCTGGTGTTCATTAAAGCTGCTGTATCCAAAGTGTAAGTGTTTTCACCTCATATCACTGTCTTGAAGGAATAATTCAAGTTGTCAACTGATGCTAACATAATACAATTCATAGATATGTCGGTGATTCTTTCCAGCTGCAGAATGTGCGTTACTATTTCTGGAATGGTCACTGCAACTTGCCACTTGCCTGGCCTATCTCAGATGCTCCAAAGATTCTCTGAGGATTTATAAGCTAAGAATGCTTAGGGGTTTGTGTCCTGAAGAGCTCTGTAATCCTGTGCTTCCCCAATCCCACTCTAAGCCAGGACCTTCTGTCACACCCAGAGAGTACAGGCAGTGTGAAAGCTCTGGTAAGCAATCATTCTGCTTGACCTTTGGGGTCCCACTGAGGTGCCACTTAGGATCTCCTCAGTAACCTGGACCAGGATGTAGTTTCTTCTTGGCCCTCAGCCCCAGGTGGTGCCCGGAGGGTCTTTCTTTGGGAACTAGGACAGCAAAGCAAGCCAAGTCATGGGTGAGATTAGCCAAGAGGCGGTGGAGAGATACCTGGAGGACCACCCTGGGTTTGCCAAGGAGTACTTCGACAGGAAGCTGCAAACAGCGGCGCTGGTTGAAGCCTCCGAACGCAGTGGGGTGCAGGGCCCGGCCAGTGGGTCCGTCCAGGGGCTGTCGTCAGAGGATGAGGCGGCACTGTGCGTGGAGCTGCTCCAGGCCATGCGGGAGGAGGCGGGCAGCGCAGAAGCGGCGGTGCACAGGGCCCTGCAGAGGCTGGCGCAGCTGCTGCGGGCTGACCGCTGCAGCCTGTTCCTCGGCCGCTCCCGCAACGGCACGCCCGAGGTGGCCTCCAGGCTGCTCAACGTCACTCCGACCTCCAAGTTTGAGGACGACCTGGTGGTGCCTGACAGAGAAGTTGTGTTTCCCTTGGACATCGGGATAGTAGGTTGGGTTGCACACACAAAGAAAGCCGTTAATGTCCCAGATGTGAAGAAGGTAGGTGGAATTATGGCAGTAGGGCAGAGATGAGGACCTGGCAGCGTCCTGGAGGGACAGTAGGAGGGAGACCTGGGGTCCGGGGGCCATCCTGTGGCATTGGCTCTAACCTGGGGAGTGGGAGCAGCGGGGAAGAGGAGCACCTAGGTCCAGGGCTGACAGATTTAGAAAAGAAAATATATAAGATGCCTAGTTCAATTCGAATTCAACTTACAGGCGCCAGGCACAGTCCACACGTCCTCCCTCACACCTCGCCCGTGCTCTGAACAGCACCACAAAGCAGGCCGTCCGCTGGGAGACCCTGAACTGCCCCCCAGGCCTCTCACCCACAACACTCTCTTCTTTGGGATGGATTGGCTCCTAAGTGAATTCTTTCACCTATAGGGTAAATGTGCAAAAAGGAAAACAGTACCATTGAGAGTTCAGATTTAGATGATTAAACATGTGACTTTGGGTGACCATGGAGTGCCGCTGGCCGTCCCAGCCCCCTGTAACACAGCTCTGTCCAGAATAAATCCCAATCTGGGGAGTGGGACTGCTGGGTCCTCCTGAAGGCCGATAGTGCACTAATGGTTATCTTCTTTTAAAAACAGAACATTTGACTCCTCCTCACCACCACAGTGCGTGTTCATTTTAGGAAAATGACAAAATGCAAATAAAAAGGAGGAAATACAAACCCCCCCAGTCCCTCCACTCAGCAATAACTACAGGCAACAGCCTGCAGTTTCTCCTGCCAGGCCTCTTTCTACACGAGCCCCATTATTTTGCTTTGCTAGTAAGGAGAGGGGGGAGGTGGATTATGCTGTCATGGAGTTGATGGAAAACCACCCCTGACGTGCTTTCTGTGCGGAGATTTACTGCTGGCTTAGGAGGGGGGCAGATAATCTTCTCCTGGGCCTCCTGGAGCTGCTTAGAGGAGGCGAGCCTCCGGGATCCAGAAGACCCAGAGTCGTCAAACATTAGCAACACTCGGCAAACAGCCACTGGGCAGCTCTCAGGTGCAAGGGTTGCCGCTGGCACAAGGAGTCCTTGGTTCTTTTTCACCCCCCTCCAGGGAATCAAGCTGGCTTCAGGAGGTGTGAGGCCCGCCAGTGGTCTGTGCCCTATGGCAAAGTTCTCTGGACACCAGTTAGGAGGCTGTCCCCACAGCCCCTGCCGTGGAAACATGCTCTTGGCCAGTCTCCAACTGAGGCCATGTCCAAAATTACTAAGGCATCAAACTTAAGAAAGTGACCTGCAAGATTTTTTTTCTGAAAGTTTTTTAAAAAGAGATGGATAAAATGACTTCTACTATAATACTTTATTGATGAGCCCAGTTCTCTGTGTTGAGAAAAATGACAGAATGGAGTGGTCAAAAGATCGGGTGGCCTTGGTCTGTTGCTGTCCTTGGTGAGCGCCCTGCGTGGACAGGGAGGTACATGGAGGGGGGTGGGTGTCTTTCCTCTCGAGCCTCCCTTTTCCTGAGGACTCCCAGCTGTTCTGGTGGGACAGACACACATGGGCTGAAGACAGACACCCTCCTGAGCTCAGAGGGGAAACACAGGTTTCATTTATTCTCCACTTCTACTGCTTCTAAGCATTTTTCCCGCCAAAAGGGGTGCTTTTTCAATTTTGGATGCACATTAAAATCAAATTGGGAATGCTTTAAAAAATACTGTTATATGAGACTCTCAAAAGACCAATTGCGTAGACCCAGGGGTTGGGATGCAGGCACTAGTGTGATTCTAATACGCAGCCAATGTTGGGAACCACTCATCTCCTGGGTGAGCAGATGTAAGAGGAGGAAGCGAATTTCAAGTCAGCTGTGGATGCTGGATGGAAATGGCCCCTGGAGCTATTAGTCCAACTCTTTGCTCAGGCAGACAGGAAGCTGGGGTCACGGGAGCTGCGTCTCTGAGTCCGTGGTCTGGCAGGTGAACACAAAGGGCCGAAGAGAATGGAGGCCTCCCTCTGCCCAGTGTTCCTTCCACCCTCACTAAACCCCAAGTCTCTGCTGTATTTCTCCGTTTGTATGTTCTTTTTAATAGTTTTTTTAAATTTTATTTTTCAATTGCAGTTGACGTTTAGTATTATTTTGTATTAGTGCCAGGTGTACAGCCATGTACTTTACAGAGTGATCCCCTCGATATTCCCAGCGCCCACCTGGCACCACACACAACTGCAGTGTTATTGACTACTTTCCTTACACCGTACTTCATTCCTGGTGACTATTTCGTAACCACCAGTCTATGCTTCTTAATCCCTTTATTTTTTTCACCCAGTTCCCCTCCCTCATGCCCTCTGGCAACCATCAGCCTGTTCTCTGCAAGTTCACATTTCAGTCACCGTGGCAAAATCTGCAAAGAGAAAGCTGCTGAAAACCTGTGTTTTAAATGAAGTTTCTATTAATTCTTTACCTTTTTCACTGCACTTGGCAATTGTGTAGATTTTTTTCATTCTTGATCTCACTTGATGCTGGCAAAGACCCTGTGCAGAAGGCACTTTCGCACCTTGTCTGTGTTAGAATCTTCTCACGGTCAATTAGCCAGGACGTGGCGGGTCTGGGACCACAGCTCAGGCCTTCGGAGGCCTTCCTCTTTCACCGCGTCGCTGACCACACACCACTTCTCTCTGGGTGGCAGTGTGGGCACAGGTAAGGGAAGGACTTCTCACACCCCGACCAAGGCAGAACTGGATACTCCGGACCTTGGGGTTCCACTCAAGTTGTAACAAGGAAGCCACATGGTGCAGGGTGACAGCTTTGGCATCAGACACACTGGATGGACATCCAGGTCTGAGACAAGGTAACTGTGTGAGGGATTGAGTTTCTGCACCTGTGGAATACAGGTACCCAAATGCACGGATGAGGTGGACGTGAAGTGCCTGATTCATAAAGATGATAACATCATCTTTATGCCAAAGAGGGTTTGGGGAGCTGGGTGTGGGTGGACAAAACTGGGTCAATGGTTATTGCCTGTTTTTAAAACAAGGTAAAGGCAGGAAAACTTTGAATAACAGGAAACTGAGAGATAGTCTTTTCAAGTTAATCATTTCTTTTCCTACTGGGAAAGCAGTTGATTAACTATGGATGGGCGGTTCTCGTTCCGACTGTGATTTAAAAGAGAAGCCATGGAGAATTCCTAGGTTTCCAATGATTAACAGGACACTTAGAGCTCCCTTTCCTCCCTCCTCTCTCATCCTGCTCTCCTCTCTTTCTGACTCCTGCTCACAAAGGATGATGGGATTTAATCAGAATTTAACAATGCTGTGATTGGGTGAGGGAGCCAGGCCAACTGCTATTCTAAACAGTGTTCTCTCTGGTTGCTCTAAGCGGCTCCTTTGGAGAAGGACCGTCAGAGGGAGTTTGTGCGTTTGAGAAATACAGAGTTTACTCAGACAAACCAGTAAGGATCGTTTGAGCTAGTGAAAATAAAAAAGCAGAAAGCCGCATTTCACCCCTGCCCCTGCCACCCGTGTAATTTGATGGATGATTTTATCCAGGGTTTTCAGATATGATAATAAGCAAGCATTCTATTTTCAAACGCAACAACCATTTTCTCAAACCAGCCAAATGAATTTGAGAAGGTTTTCTCACGTGCAGAATCTAGAATAAAATAGCATCCAGTGTTGAAGCAGCAGAGTGAAGTGTTAGCCGGGAGATGCTGACTCCATCCCATGGGGTGTGTGTCTGGCATTTCGCTTATGCCTTCAGTGCCCAGGACGGCCGTGTGAGTGGAGGTGATCGTGATCTGTAGTGGGTGACAGGTTAGGAGGAAAACCGGATGTGAGCGGGCCTGGGCAAGCAGTGGGTTAAGAGAAAGAACCTAATTCTGAGGATGCCCTGGCCTGAGAGGGCAGATGCTATGGGAAGCAGAGAGAAATAACAGATGAAGTAGTCAGGAAGGAAATGTGACTCTTGGGAGCGTGGGGCAGAGTGTTGGCCCCCAGAAGGAAGCGCGCTCCCGGGCAAGGAGGCTGACACGAGCATCTAATGTCTCAGCGATTAGAAGTGGTTAGAAAAACTAGAGCTAGATGCAAAATAGTAATTGTAAAAGAGAACCGTTTTTCATCCAGGGAGGCCCCCTAAAAATTTCAGGTTTCTCTTCCTCGTATTCTTTGAACACCCACTTTGTGTCAAGACAATTCTCTAAGTGCTCAGCTGATACCCCTGTCTTCACAGAGAGGATTCTAGACAGTAGATCATGTCATTATTACCACTTGCAAAATTTTCTTTACCATTATGCAATGTTGCCTCCTAAATATATAGTGGTTTGTGCGGTTCCATGTTGGGAAAGGTAAGAAAAAGCCACAGGGGCGGGGCGGGTGGTGAAGGCCTGCGTCCGCCTCCCTTAGCATCTCACGTGTTCTTTGTGAAGGGTCCCACTTCTGGGGATTCTCCACAGGAGTGATTCACCCGCTGAAAGTGCAGATTCCTCAGGAAGACAGACCCCATATCAGGAGATTAGGGCTATGGGTCTGCTGTGAGCTCTGCAAGTCTGTGTTTATCTGCAGGGGATTCGGAGGCACAGCCAGCGAGAACCACTCTGGGCCGAGCTGCGGGTTCTGTTGACCAAGCGGCCTGTGTTCCCTGGTGGCAATTCTGGCCCATAAGTTATACACCAGTGGACTCTCACCTTTTTACTTTGGGAAACTGAGCAGAGTCCAGCTTCCAAGGCCTGTGCTGCTCTTAGAAGCACCATGAACACGAGCAAGTGAAAATAATACAACTTGGGAAAGCAATGCCACATTAATTTTGGCCATTCAGTCTCAGAATTAGGCTGAAAGTTCAGCTCTAATTGAAGAAGCCTCAGGTTCAAAGAGGGGATAGTAAGGACCCCAGAAGGCTGAGCCTGTACCCATGAGGAAGTGTTCCTCTAAATTACAGCTAGTAAGGTAACAGCCATCCTTGACCTTCTTCTGAAGCCCTTTTGTTTGCACCCCCCTCCAAACTCATCCCTCTGCTCTTCCTGTGGTTAGTGTATTTGAATCATCTCTCATATGCCACATGAAGTTTGTATCTGGAAAGATCCTCTCCTAAAGAGAGAAAAAACTGTATGAATGAAAGACACTAGCTTGGTAGAACAATAACCACTGGTTAGAATCTGGTGCTGGTAAGAAGGTCATCCTCTCACATGTGACCAGTGGGAGTAAGAATTCCAACCTTTCATAAAAGTACTCTGTGTAAAGAAAACTGCACATACCTGGGGACCCAGCAAAAGGAATTTCTACTTTGGGAAACCCATCACATCAGCATAAGAGCGAGAACGATCAGGGCTGCATTGTTTGCAGTGGAGAACACTACAGACAGACTGACCGGTAGAGGATGGTGAGTGGGCCGGGGAGCTGCCACACTGTGGAGTGATGTGCAGGACTCTGGGAGGTAAATTCACATCCACGTGCATTGGTCTGGAGGGATGTCCGTAAAATACTGTGACGTGATGAAAGTATTGTATACAATCAGAAAGGAAATTTTTATAAAAAACAGAAAAGAAAAACCTTTGTCCAAGCACAGAGCAAGGCATAGAAGTAGACACACCAAGCAGTTAACACTGATATCCTTGGGCAAGATTGGTGGTTTGAGGGATTACTCACTTTTTCTTTATGTTATGATATAATGGTTCTCTGGTGTCAACTGCAGATTTCATGTTTGTAGTTAGAAATAAGACTTCTTTGCTTCGGGTGGGTGGCTCCCCAGTTGGTTGGAGCATCGTCCTGTACACCAAAAGTTTGCGGGTTCCACCTCCTGGCCGGGCACATACCTGGTTGCAGGTTTGATACCCTGTCAGGGGGTGTACAGGAAGCAACCAATCAATGTTTCCCTCTCTTTCTTTCTCTCTCTCTCTTTCCCCATCCCTCCCTCTCTTTCACTCCCAACTTCTTTTCTCTCTAAAATCAATAAATGTATTGTCAGATGAAAATTAAAGAAAAAACTCTTTGAAATATGCCTGGAACCCCAGCTATGCTCTCCTGTCCAGCACACACTTTCTGTTCATTGTAACAGAAGTTTTTTCCTGCCGTCCTCTTAGCACCTTCTTTCCACTTGGCTGCAACATCACCTCTTTTCTCCCACCCCAATCTCAGCCTAACCTACATAGGCCACAGCTCAGCTGGGAGACACTCACTCTGAAATGGGCAGTTTCATTTTGAGCAGTCATGGGATGGGGCAGCGGTGGGGCGGGGGTATGTTTTCTCAGGACTGCTGCACGGGGGCCCTGGTTATCTGTCAGAATTCGGACGAGATGGAAGGACCTGCTGCCATTCCTAGATCTACGTGCTGTGGTTCTGTGCTGCTTTGGCCAACGTGTGAACGTGTTTTTCAGAACAGCCACTTTTCTGACTTCATGGACAAACACACCGGGTATGTCACTAGGAACCTGCTGGCAGCCCCAGTTGTGATGGGCAAGGAGGTTCTGGCTGTGGTTATGGCAGTTAACAAAGTAAATGCGCCTGAATTTTCCAAACAGGACGAAGAGGTAATGCTAACCCCTAGGCATCCAGTCGGAGGTTTGGGAAGTTTATTTGTTATATAAAACATCCGAAAAAAGATGTCACATCTATTTGTTTTTCTCTGTCACCTGTAGGTGTTTTCCCAGTACCTCGCCTTTGTTTCTATCATCCTAAAGCTTCATCACACCAACTACCTGTACAGCGTTGAATCCCGAAGAAGCCAGGTAAAGAGAAAGGGACATTAATCATTCTGCACTCACCTGTTCTGACAAAGGGACCCAGAGGCAGCCAGACCAGACCCCTTCTTTCCCTCATGGGGGTTTCAGACACATGGAGCAGATCCCCAAACTGCAGCCCCAGGTACCTCTTCATGGTCCGCCCTGGCTTTCCATCCCTACCCACCTGCCTTCCCAGGTGTATGAGCATCTGGTGTGCCGTTCTTCAGTCTCCATCCCAGGCAGTCATGGTTTCGTCATCTATGAGGTGACAGTGATAATTATAGTACCCACCCCACATGGTTTTTGTGATGATTAAATAGTCATTAGATAAATTAGTTTGCATAAGGCTGTTAGCAGTACCTGGTACATGAAGGTATTAATCTGAGGAGCAACTCATTCCTCTGGAGTCTGTTTCCTCCCTGAGCCAGAGGTATAAAGAACAACATTGGCAGCCAGGATACCTCAGTCTGGACCATTCCCTGGGCCTCAGTTTCCTCATTCGTACAATGGTGGGAAGGGGGTTGGGATGGAAGGCTTTCAAGGCCCCTTCCCGTTCTAACAGTCCAGGTAGGGTTACCTCTGACTAGCTCAGGGTGCATGGAAGGAGGCATGCAGCTTTCTGCCAGCGAGGGTCAGCAGGAGCTCGGCTGCCCAGGGACTGTCTCTGCTGCCAATTTTAGGTCACTTGCCCTTTGAAGCCAAAACATTTGGACAAAGGAACCAATTGTAGCTTATCCTCTCTCATAAGCCCACAGCCTTGCAAAGGTCTCCTCATCATTCCACGCAGGGAATCAGTCTTTTGTTGGGCATGGACATCTTCAGAAATGGAATTGCATTGCCCAGTGGTACAGCTTCATTTTATCTGATGCACC